CTAAACCAATATGACCTTATCTTAACTTGATTACATCAGCAAAGACTATTTCAGGGGACTTTTTTTTTTTTTTTGTCTTTTTCCGTGTCCGGCAACGGATCGCAACCCTCAGTGTTGCCCCCGTACCGGACCGGGGACCGGCAACGGGATTGCAACCCTTGGTGTTGCTCCCGCACCTCGCTCAGCCAGTGAGTGGGAACCGGTCTGTATGTGGGATCCGAACCCTCGGGCGGGAGCGCCACCGCGCTTCCCAAGCGGCGCACTTATCCAGTGCGTCACCGGGCCGGCCCTCAGCAAAGACTATATCAAAATAGGTTACACTCACAGGTTCCAGGAGGACATGAATTTTGGGGGGACACTTTGCAAGTTAGTGCAGGTGGACTGCAGGACGTGACAGGACTGGGGGGATCCTGCGTGGAAAGACTGATGCTCTCCCCACCCTCTGCCTCTCAACAAGGACCTTCTCTTTTTTTTTTTTTTTTTTTAAANCGTGGCCTTGGTGTTATCAGCACCGCACTCTACCGAGTGAGCCACAGGCCGGCCCCAAGGACCTTCTCTTTCCTCCGGTCATCCCACCCTTCCTTGTCCTCTGTCGCCTGATCCAAATCTGTCATGTTACATATGGGGGAACCAAGGCCGAGAAAGGGGCGAGGCTGGCCCTGATCACTGAACCAGTGAGGGGCGCAGCCAAGTCTATACCCCAGGTCCACCTCCCAGCCCACTCCCACCTCCAGTGCTAGGAACTGCCCCTTCCCCACCCTAGCTCTGCCTCCATCTCTCTCTGGGCCTTGGACTTTGTTGAGTGGGGACAAGGAACCTGGGCCTGCATACCTCACAGGTCTCAGCATCCCCATTTATCCAAATGCACCCCTGACCCCAGCCTTTCTCATGCCCCTCCCCTACAGCAGCCCCCCTCCCCATCCTTGAGGGCTTGGGTTCTTCCGGTTCAGCCAGGCAGCCCCCATGAGGTGAAAGGGGAGTGGGGCTGCATCTCCCCCCCCAGTCCTAGCTCTTCCACCCCTGCCCCGACTCTCCTAGGGTTGTGGGGGATGGGGCAGGCTACTGGGAGGAGACAGGGGGCTTCTCACCATGCCAGGGGTCAGGCGTGAGAGTGCTTGCTATGTGGCGGGCACACCCTGTTCTGCATCTCCTTTGAACCCCTTTAGGAGGGACCGTGATTATCCTCATTGGATAATCTCATCTCCCAGGGGTAATAATGTTTTCTGTATTTTGGTTAGAGGCTGAAGGAGAATTTTAATCCGGCCTGTCTGTCTCCCAAGTCTGGTTCCAGCTGTTACATTAAGCACAAATCTGGGGGTTAGGCCTCCAGCCTACAAATCTCTTTCTCTATAGGAGGAAGATTTTGTCGCTGGGGGACATTTGGCCGTGTCTGGAGGCATTTTTGGTTGTCACAATTGGGGGGAGGGTGCTCCTGGCATCTAGTGGGTAGAGGCCAGGGATGCGGCTCAGCATCCTACACTGCACTGGACAGCCCCTCAAGAGAGTGATCCAGCCCCAGGTGTCACTAGTGCCAAGGCTGAGGAACTCTGCTCTAAGGCTGCCTAGTGTCTGATGCGCCACCGTTATAGCTCCACTCTCCCTGGGTAAGCTTTGCCTCTTCCAGGCCTTCCCACTACAACACACCACCTCTGGGAGAGCTGGGCAAGCCTACGACCCTCCCCTGCATGTGCGCCAGCGGGAGAGAACCGATCCTCCTCCCACAGCCTCTGCCCTTGACTTGTGGCTGAG